AGACACAAATACTTCCGCCTGCTGACACAGGCTACCTTAACTATCCCGGCTACGTGCTTGAAGAGTCCTTCAAAGCGAAAGCCGGTGTATGCCTGTATGTTCGGGCGGATGTTTGTTGTCGCCGTCTCCGCTGCTTGGAAGATCCCACCTTCTCCATATAGGGGGTACACTTCGACTCAGGTCCCCAGGCCAGAGTCTACGTGTGCCTCTATAGATCCCATACTGGTGATGTTGAGACAACTCGACTTTTCGAACATCTTAGTCGGGCAGCAGATGACGCGCAGGAGCAATTTCCCAATGCAGAATTGGTGTTTTTGGGGGACTTTAATGCTCACCACAATTTGTGGTTAAGTTCCTCGAAAACTGACCATGCAGGGATCTCTGCTCACGCGTTCGCTCTCACGCATGACTTGGAGCAACTGGTTGATCAGCCAACCAGGATTCCAGATATTTCAAGTCAAGCGCCTTCATTGCTGGACCTTCTGCTCACGACCCATCCACAGGGCTATCAGGTTGTGGTAGGAGCCCCCCTGGGCTCTTCAGATCACTGCCTGATATCTGCCAAAGCGCCACAGGCTAAACCTCCGCGTCCAACGGTGGTAAAACGCCGGATCTGGCACTATGGGTCAGCAGATTGGGACGGTATGCGTGACTACTTTGCGTCCGTCCCTTGGAAGCAGCGCTGCTTCAATGACAAGGACCTATCGGCCAGCGCCGTTGCTATTACTGAGGAGATTGTAATGGGTATGGAATACTATATTCCTCATTCCAATCTCATCAGTAAGGGCACACGTAACCTCTGGTTCAATTACGACTGTGCTGAAGCTGCTTCGCGTAAGCAAGCGGCATATCGTGCTTGGATCAGAGGCCGCGCTCTTAAGGATCCCGGGGTCGATTCACTAAAAGCAGCCTACAATATTGCTTCCAAGGCCTGTAAGAAGGCATACATCAGAGCGGATGCCCAGCGCGTTGCACGTGTTGGTCACGAACTTATAACGCATCCTACGGGCTCCCGTAGCTATTGGCGTGTGGCCAAGGCCGTGCAAAAGAACTTCTGCCAGCCCTCGCTGCCACCTCTGAGATGTCCAGACGGAACACTAGCTCATAAGCCGCAGGAGAAAGCCGATTTACTGGCAAAACTCTTTGCGGCTAACTCCTGAATCGATGATTGCAATGCACTGCCACCATTATTACCTCATTGTGGCACAACGATGCCTGATATCAAAATCAGGCAGCGTGAGGTTCGTGCCGAATTGCAATCACTCGACGTCCGGAAAGCTAGTGGACCTGATGGCATCCCAGCAGTAGTATTGAAAAAATGTGCAGCGGAGTTGTCTCCTGTGCTCACGCGTTTGTACCAGTGCTCGTATTCTTTGGGGCGTGTGCCGGAGACTTGGAGAGATGCTAACGTGCAACCGGTACCCAAAAAAGGGGATCGCTCAGACCCGGCAAACTTCCGGCCAATAGCAGTCACCTCAGTATTATGTAAAGTCCTAGAAAAGGTCCTTAACAACCATCCATCCATCCATCTGACCCGCTACCTAGAGGATCACTCCCTGATTAATGATCGTCAATATGGTTTTAGACCGAAACGATCGACGGGTGATCTTCTAGCGTACTTGACTCATATCTGGGGTGAGGCTATCGACAAGCGGGGCGAGTCGTTGGCTATCAGCCTAGACATTGCCAAGGCATTCGACAGGGTCTGGCACAAAAGCTTCTCTCCAAGCTTCCGGCATACGGTCTGCCAGCCCAGTTCTGTTCTTGGGTAGCTGACTTCCTGCATGAGCGTAGAATTCGTGTCCTCACGGATGGTAGCAGTTCGCGGTTCATGTCAGTGAATGCCGGCGTTCCCCAGGGCTCCGTCCTATCCCCCACTCTCTTTCTGCTGCATATCAATGACCTAATTCCTCTTGGGAATATTCATTGCTATGCAGACGACAGTACAGTGCATGCGGGGTATCTCGGACAAGCAGCGGCTGGGCAGGCAGTAACCAAGGAGAAACGGGAGAATCTTGTCATTGAACTCAATCAGGCTTTGGACCACATTTCTGAATGGGGTACCAAGAACTTGGTTGAGTTCAATGCTAAGAAAACACAGGTCTGCGCTTTCACGGCAAAAACGTCGCCATTCCTTTTATGTCCTTCTCTTCAGGGCACAACACTGGAGCTAGAGAGCAGTATCACCATGCTCGGTATGGAGATTCGCTGTGACTTAAATCCAAAAAATTACATCGAAAGTGTGATAAAAACAGCCTCACGCAAACTCGGAGTCCTGAACAAGGTGCGGCGTTTTTTCACGCCCGAGCAACTATGCTTGTTATATAAGACGCAGGTTCGGTCTTGCGTGGAATATTGCTCGCACCTCTGGGATGGCTCCGCCAAGTACTTGCTCGATGCTTTGGATAGGTTACAGCGGCGCGCAATACGCATCATAGGTGATGAGGAGGTGTCTAAACACCTCGAGCCTCTTCAATTACGCCGTGACGTGGCGTCACTAAGTGCGTTCTATCGTCTGTACCACGGCGAGTGTTCTGAGGAGTTATTCTCTCTTATTCCACCTTCCCCTTTCCTTCAGAGGACCACGCGCGCTGGCTTACGTTGTCACCGTCTAACTGTGGCTACACACATCAAAAGTGTCTAGGGATCAAGCATTTTTATGCGGATTTCTTGAGATTGAGATGTGGCTTTGTAATAAATTTATGATTTTATAAATTTATATGGATCCTTTTTGGTGCATTTCATAATTTAAATCAGGAACTGTGAATCAAATTCGAGTAAAAGATGAAAATCAGCTGTCAATATTTTCCCTATAAAAACATACAACGCATTGAAGACATTATTAGTGCTACTGTTTCCCTACTACTGATTAAAACCAACGTTATTATGGAGCGGCGACGTCATTTAAGCAGGGAAGAAATGCTCAGAGCCGTGGGAATGATAGAAGCTGGTTCCCGGCAACGTACTGTGGCTTTAGCTCTGAATACAAGTCAGAGTGTTATCAGTCGACTTTGGACACGATACCGAAGCACTGGTACCGTGGCTGAGCGCCATGGAGGACGGTATCGCTGCACCACACGGAGACAAGACCGATACATTCAAATCTTAACTCGAAGAGCTCCAACAATAACCGCCATGATGTTAGCCGTGAGGCTTCATCACTCTTCAGGGAACTTAATTAGCGACCAAACAGTCAGAAACCGCTTGCATGAAGTGAACCTTCATTCCCGAAGACCGCTACGGGTACCACCTATAGCAATGCACAATCGTAGGATTCGATATCAATGGGCTCTTGAACACAGAAATTGGGCAGAAGAACAATGGCGTTTCGTGTGCTTTTCTGATGAGTCTCGTTTTGGTATGAGACCGGATACAAGACGTATACGACACTGGAGAACCCCTGGACGCCAACAGCGATTAAAATCCTGCCAGGAAGTCCATCCTTATAGTGGTGGAACCATCATGGTATGGGCGGGTATTTGGATCGGCGGAAGAACTGAGTTGATTTGGATCAGAGGCAACCTCAACGCTCAAATTTATGCTGAGACGATTGTATCAGACGTCATCGTTCCTCTACAAGTGCAAATCGGTCCCTTATTTCAGTTAATGCATGATAATGCACGACCGGACACCGCAAGAGTTGTAAGACAGACTCTCGCCGCAGCTAACATCAATGTCCTGCCCTGGCCTGCTCAGTCGCCAGACTTGAACCCGATTGAGCATGCATGGGATATGCTACAGAGAAGAGCTCTGCCGAATATGGAGGGTATCCAGTCGCAAGAAGACCTTTTTTTGTTGTTGCAACGAACATGGGCGGCCATTCCACAGCGTGATTTGGATGAACTCATTTTGAGTATGCCAAACCGATGTTCTTGTGTTGTTAGTGTTTGCGGTAGAAATACGGATTATTAATTGTTTAAGTTACCCAATAAAATTTTAGAGAAAACTGTTATTTCAGTCTTTTTTTCGAACTTTTGTGTTAGTGGTTCAAATGTCAAAAATCCCTTTATTAGGAAAATGGCAAATTTCTTTATTAATGCAAAGGTGACTTGGTTTATCGTTACTGTGACAAACGAAAACACTTTATTTGATGAATCCTTAAAGAAAATTTTAATTAATATCAATCAGGAGAAAAGTTATTGCAAAAATATATGTTGATCCCTAGACACTTTTGATGTGTGTACAATTCCAACGCGTACAAAGAAATTTGGTGACTCATTTCTTTGTCGTACTATCCGTAAATGGAATGCTCTGCCCGCTCACGTGTCCCCTCCCTCTTACAACCTGGGATCCTTTAAAAGAGGCGTGAAGAAGCAACATGCAGGCCGGCAGGGTGAGGATGGCTGGTGCGGCAGGTAGAACTGCTGTATCAGCTATCTTCGCGTCTGGACTTCACCTCCACTTAACATCAGGTGGGGTGGAGTCATTTGTCGGACCTATCTATAAAAAAAAAAAAATCAGACATTGCTATGATGCAGTTCGGTAAAATTCTTTGACAATTTTGAAAATTCGGTCAGATCAAACGCTACGCCTGAAAAAAATGTCTGATATTGGTATTTTCGAGTTCAAGATAATCGTGTCTATCGATTTGATGCGGTTTTGGCCGTATTGCTATGAGACAAAAATTTTGGTCGTGGGCTCTCGTACTAATAGATTTCCGTAAATAGCAAATCGAAATCGGACTTCCGAGCACGAAATCTGACTTCCAAAAACGAAAGCACGAATTTTGAATCCGATTTACATTTGGATACTTGTGGTATTAGATCGCTAGTTCGTCGTTTTGGTTCGGTTAGATTTCTGAAATCCGATTTTCTTGTTGAGAAATCGTTCTGTATCGATTTGTGTTTGAAATCGGATTTTGGATTCGTTTTGATATATCGGACGCATGCCTATCGCAAACTATTCGAATTCGATATTGGTTCGTGCTAAGGGTACTGAATCCAGCAGGATGATTAGTGCGTAAAACTCTCAGTAATTCACTCATAAACTTGTGTTTTCAGGCTTCCGATTACCAAAAGCCATTTGATGAATCTTCAGAAAAACTTCTTAAATCTCTTTTGGAGAAACGAAAAAAGTTGAATCCGTCTTATTTGCGGGTGATGGCTCGATATGTTGGTTTGGGCTTGTTGAAGTCCCCTAGGAAAAAATGAAATTGTTAATGTTGAACACGTTTGTGAGGTTTGATGGTTTTTGTAAATTTAAACTGATTTATATATTACACCATGATTTTTTATATTTAATTTGTTTTATTTTATTAGAGGGCGTCCATAAATTACTTGAGGTGTTTTTTTGAATTTTCTGTCCCTCCCTCTCTCCCTGATGAGATTCAATTCAACATTAATTGCAGACCATAATGGAGCTCAGACCAAATAAAAAGTAAAGACGGAGTCTGCCGAACCAAAAAGTGAAGCCGGTTTTTTATGTATGTAGTGCATTAGCCAGTGTTACCATAGTCATATAAAACACCCCAATATTAGAAATATGTAATAACGTTATTAATAACGTTATAAAATATTAGAAAAAAATATCGTAAGCAACCAAGTAACTCAGCTGTGGTAAAATTTGTCGAGTGCCCATCGAACGTTAACGAAATGACATCTACTCCGGCATCACAACACTTAATCAGACACATTCTTATAAGGTTCGATTTTGATCCCCTGTAATACCGTTAATCAGGATGTATCCTAGTGGTATCTTAAAACGATGATGTATTCCTACTAATAAAAATACTAATGCTTGAGAAGCTAAGGGGGCAGTTTCTTCTGTACCAGTTCCCATATCGACAAAACCAATGTATTTTTGTCTATCCCACAATTTTTGAGGTCGAATAGCCACCTCATCGAACACCAAGTTGCATATCGTCGGTGATATTCTGAAACCGCGGAACTAACAGTGTTTAAAACCGCGTAAGGTAGCTGCAGTGAATTTTACAGGAACGAAGAAAAACATAATATTTACTGAATCACATGACTTTCTATTGTTTAAACATTTAAATTGTCAAATTATAATATTCTTCTTGGTATTGTAGGCATTAGTTATGTTAAATATGTATTAATTAATTAGTAAATCGACTTTCGCGGTTTTATTATCTCAAATAAAATCAAAATGAGTTTTTTTATGTCACTGAAGCGGAATTGTCCGCCGAAATAAAACAAAAGAATACAATCAACATCCTATAATTATTTATTAAGTCAACTTCAGAGTTTAATTTTTGGCACATATTTATCACCGGTACATTAGGTAATCAACAATATACAGGAAATTAACACCATAAATCCCCATAATGTTAAAAAAAATAGCTCTTTATAGCTAAGTGTGTTAAACATACCTTGTTGAGAGGGTACTTACTAATTAACAGTTAAAACTAAAAATGAAGAACAAAACGTATATCAATATTACTTCTGAGTAGAATAATTATTGCACATTGAGGTCTTTGTTAATAATGAGATCAATAAAACATTACTTTTTCTTAAATGGCAAATTATCGTAAAATAAGTGTCAATCTGCAGGTATCACACTCTTTAATTGCTGTAAGTGCTGATACTTACTGTCTAATATAGGCAGTCTAGATGAATACAGGGAAGGTACATTATAACTACAGCTGAAATAGGTTTTGGTCTCCGAGGAAGTGGGCTGAAATCATCTTTAAAGTGTTTTTTAAACTCTATTGTGCCGTTAGGATTATACTTTAAAACCCTCAGATCCACTACGCAATCATCTCCAGCAGTCTTTAAAAAGGTGTAATCTGGTTGAAAAACCTGGTATGGAGAAGGATGCTTCCTGACTTCTTTTGTAATTGAGGCATACTGAGAAGGAAGAAAAATTTCAACATTTTTCAGCTTTCTTTCCACTACGGAGTGTACGGAGGCAACCTCCATTTGAGTGTGATCTTTTTCCAGATACTTTTCTGTAATTGTTGTATTTTTGTCTACTGCTAATCTTATAAGGGCATTAGAAACTATTGAGTTTCTGTTCTGTGCAGTGCAGCCATCCGTCCAGATGGCAACATCCCTGCAATCTTCTTCTAATAACTTAGTCAAATAATCAATGAAAAATGATGCGTAAGTGGTAGCTCTGAAATCACAGGCGGTTTCGTCGAACCAGTAGCAAGTTACATGCATACGCGGTTTGGGCACAATAAACAATCACCTGACGTTACGCGGATTAAAAGACATTCGATTTCACGGCTTCCTATTGGATAATAGGCCCAGCCTTCATCACAGAACGCAGCCAATCACTACAACGAAGCTGCTAGTTTTGTAAATACGCGGTTTTAAACACTGTTAGTTCCGCGGTTTCAGAATATCACCGACGATATGTAAAATGTCTCGACTTACGTCGTTTCGATTTATTTTGAAAGAACGACAGTGGTTGGGAAAGAAAATCCCCCATCTTAAACCGAACGTAAAGGCGGTTATTCCACGTTTTGGTTTGGTAAAAAAAAATACAAAGATAGGTTTTACATTTTTTATTTTTTTGAGTAAGATCACTTTTGCGGCGCACTCTGGTTGGAGCTCTTTGAATCACGCATGGAAGCTGAACGCCTGCGTTTTAGCTCTTCTTGACGACGTACCTGTAATAGAAATGAATATTTAATTTGATAAGTTGTTTCATTACTCTTAGGTCTTTTAGTTTAAGCAAATTCACCTTCCTGCAGAATCATAACTAATTCAAAAAGTTTTTTTCTGTCAATATGAATATGGGGATTTTGTAATTATTAATTTGTAATTTTCATTCATTGCCAATGACCAGCAGATAGCCCCGTCCAATTTGGTACTGCTTTGATTTTGGGTTTATGCTTTACCTCTACACAAATGGAGCACAAGTCACAACAAAAATGCACAGTTATTTGAGAGAATTTTAATACTTAGGTGGAAATTGAAAAGCCCACTTTTCATAAGCTCAGCTTTGTATGACACAAACAAATCAATACAATGCATAAGCAGTAATCACAGACTTTTATGCCTATATAATTAATTGTTGCTGATTTAATACCTTAGTCCATATGAAACATAGACTAAGGGGTAAGACACAGCCCTTTGTTATAACAGCCAAATACAAATCCCATACATTAAGCGCATGGTCATATGGTACCCGCTGTGGACTATAAGAAATAGGTTTCATTGGTAAAGTAGCTTCATGGCTAAAAATAATGTATATAAATGCTGTAAATAAAATAAAGAAGTATTTCAGTTTTGAACTTTTTAAACTTTTTGTAAATGAATATTAATTACCCCAAAAACTTAAGCACTCAATTTTAAATATTATATTATTTCGTCGTTGCCACTTCAAGACCTCCTATGTGTCATTTTTGTCGAAATACCTTTTTTATACGGGTTTATTTCAAATTTTAGCGCTACATCGAAATCAAAAACTCTCGTGTGAATAAGTCTTTTCAATTTCTATTTATTTACTTTATTCAATATATCCTAAGTGTTTGCTCAAGTAAACTTGGCATTTAAAATATCTTATGTGTAAAAGCGCTAGATAGGTAAAAATTGTTATTGGTCAAATTTTCAAAATAACTAACCAATAGAAGCACTAGAATGAGAGGGATGCATAGATCGCGTGATTATTTTCCGATTGTAGGTGTTACATGGGGGTAGTAATATAAAAATTACGTTAGCTTCGATGGGTTCTCGCTCTGTGGTTATAAAAGTCGATGTGCAAAGTGTATTGCTTGCTCCAAAGCTATTGGCAAGTGCCCTGTTCTATAAATCGAAGTTACAATGTCATAATTTCACTGTTTGTGATGTTTTATCTTAAAATGTATCAATTTACTGTTGGCACGAAGCAGACGGTAATGTAACTGCAAATGAATTTACATCTTGCTTAATAGACCATTGTCAAAATTTACCAACTACGATTGAGTGTATTATTATTTTTATGTTTGTAGAACAGAAACTGAATTTCGTCGACTGCCCTAAGTGTTTTGGCACAACGAAGGCACAAATCGGTTCAGTCGTTTAGACAAGGGCACACCATGATGGCGGTGGACAGTGTTCACTCCACTATTGAGCAATACATAAAACCACTATTGTCATTGCAATGATAAATTTTAAAAACAAATAACTTGTATAATTGAGAGTCATGTGTTTTGAATCTCAATCCCTTTTACACTTATATTCTCTAATGTGATACAAAACGCGCAACCAAAACCTCTTATGTGTCACCTTGAATTGTTTTTTATTTTTTTTACTACAAAATCGTTTTTTATTTAAAATGACAAGAGCAAAATAAAAATCATAAAACCCTCTAGTTATCACTTGTATTTTTTGTTATATTTAGTTTCCTTATATTTTTTTCAGTAGACAGTTTTTATTGAATATTTCGCATTGAAGAATTTTACCCATGGGAGGGAGGTCTTAAAGTCGCAACGACGATTTAGTGGTTTGTTCAAATTTTCATCACTAACTGTCAGTAATGGTCAGGCTTTCCTTCCTCTTGCCCTCAAAACATTTGAAACAGACTATCATTTTTATTGTAAGTAACTGGCTGCCTCTCTAGTCTTTTGAGCTGCATACCAATTGCATAAGGTTATTGCCAAACCAATATCTGCTATGAGCCAAAAATATAACTTTTAAGACATAGCTATTAATATTTGTCAATATTCTGGCTGATGTACATAGATTATTTTAAGCAGCCTCTGTAGACTGTTATAATGCTAAGATACGCATAGCAGTCTTTGTATTGGAAAATTCGGTTAGTATACTAGTCATAATAATGGAAATGTTGAAATCCCCAAGAAGTACATATGAAAGATAAAGGGTTTGACAATGATGATATAATAAATATGTATGTCAAAGTACCTTAGACTCCTTCTTTCTCTGGGCCAACAGTTTGGCATACTCAGCCTCTGAAGACTTGCGTTTTGCCAGACGCTTCTTCTTGAGGGCTAGACGGTGGCGTCTGCGCTGCAGCACTACCGGGGTCACCAGCCTTTGAATTTTGGGAGCCTAAAAAATTAGACAAAAAGGTAACAATTAAAAAAAAAACACCATTTAAAAAACCTAAATATAAATGAATAAAATATACTGTGGTAAACAAATATCTCTTGGATTTTACAAGCAGATTGTTATCATAAGTGAAAAAAACAAAAGCTTCATAACAAAATTGTTCAGCACACTGTAAAAGCAAACAGACATGAGCCTGCATCTTCTGCTCGGTGCAGTCATAATATGCCCTGATGCTGCTGTTTTCAAATTATTGTAAATTTAGAATCAATATTTTAATCAGGGACTTACAGAAAACTTACTAGCATTAACTAGATTTTTATACTTTAATGGTAGCCATACACACTACGAGAAATCGTTACGATCAGACTGTACAGTTCGAACGGAACAGTTTATTGTACGTGGCATATGTATAGGAAACTGTGCAGTTTTATAACATACACGCTACGATTTATCAGTACTGTTTGGACTGTACAGTCTAATCATAACGATTTCTCGTAGTGTGTATGGCTAGCATAAGAAAACCAGTCAAAAATGATTAAGTAAGAAGGTGGAATAAGTTTTTGTACCTTATATCTGGGTTTGGCATTTTCTTTGCCCTCCTTTGCTGGGAGTAGACGCTTAACAACATAACGGCGTACATCATCTTCTTTAGTCAAATTGAACAGCTTGCGGATCTTAGATGCTCGTTTGGGTCCCAGACGGCGAGGTACATTTCCATCAGTTAAGCCAGGGATTTCCTGCAATGAGAAACATAATGAGTTAAAAATATAGGCAGTAGTTGAATTATTAATCATTCTATTCTACAGTAGTTTTTCAGCAAATGACATGTATAGAAGCAAGTAATGGGGATTACTGTACAAACCTAGAACAAGACAATTTTATTTTGTATATAATATATTAATTGATAACTGTTGCCAATTAATCTTTAAAACACATTCACAAACAGATTTTTCATCAATTTGCTTAAGATATGACAAAACTTGATCAATTTAGAGAAATGTGAAATTGAGCAACATTATTATCCTCATACCTGCCCACATGTATAAACAGAATATTTAGATATTGTAAAAAAAATAAAAATTGTTAGACATGTATGAAACGCCTGTGAATGAGTGACTCTCAGGCAAATTTCACATATATCCTTTTAATATACCCTGCCGCATATAATTGCCAAGATTTGAAGATCTTGGAAACAGTAAGAACAGGGATCTCACCTAAATAGGAAACTTAGTTTAAATCTTAAGCTATATTTGTCTTTTTATAGCAAATAAAGGTGACAGCATTTTCTTTTTAGACAATTTAGGTTATTGTTATTTTACTTGCCTGAGCACCCTTACGAACGATCACAAGAGCCAACACTGAGAGGTTAGCATCAACAATGCATCCACGAACAGATTTTCGTTTCCTCTCTCCATCACGACGTGGTCGGTAGCAAGAGTGACCCTTGGACATAAGCAGACGGACACGACCTGAAATAAAAGAAAACATGAATGTTCATTTGCTTTTACTGTGATATTTCTAGGCTAATTTGTCTTTGTGATGAACTAGTCGGTTGTTTTCCTATTCAATCTCTTAAAAGAATTTAACACTTACTGTTGGTAAGGACACCCTGTTTCATGGGGAATCCTTGCTTGTCGTTACCGCCAGCGACGCGGAGAACGTAACCCTTCCATTCATCTCCTAGTTGGTCCGCTTCAACTTCTGCGCCCATACGCTTCTCATAGAAGATACGGAGCTTGTGCTCATCCACCACTTCGAATAACTTTTGACATCCCGTTGCCGGGTAGGAGACGTTCAGCTACAAAACAATTTATAGGTTATAAACATCACATTGATACAATTACTGAAACTACGAGAAACTACCGCACTGCTTAGCGTGGGGACAAAAATCACGCGCTTTTCATTTTACACTAAAATACTTAGCATTATAATGCAAAATCAACACATGAAAGTTACACTTTCCACAACACCGAATCACTTTATCATTATTTATCCAGGGAATCGTTGATTAAGTTGTCCCAATTAACGAAGGAGTACATAATATAATATGCAATACATTATATCTCAACTTTATTTTGGATTTTTTAAAGTAATTATTGTTATAAATAAAGTAAAAACCTTCATGACTGTAGTCAATTCCTTCGAACGTCAGCCATGAAAAAGAACCAGATTTGATCAGTGTGGCCAGACTTAAATTAGTGATCTTGCTAGCGTAGGCAAAAAACCCTGCTAAATTCTATACCAAACCGAAATATGTAAAAAAGAAGATGTGTTTCTACCTTGACAGCTTCATAGACATATTAGTTTTAGTCTTTAACATCTGCAGAAATTATTAAAGTAAACTAAAAGAACATCTCTTTTAAATCCCCATATCGTGATATTATTGCCGTATAGGTATATACTGCGATCCTCGCATCGCGATAATATTTATAAATGTAAGATAAATACCCCATTGTCCAGAAATAAGTATATTTAAATGATTAAGCATTCTATTTAACAAAGATTGCCGATAAAAATATGATAAATCATTAATATTGTTAATGATGAAAACTATAAATGACATGAAAAATGTTCATATCATTTTTAGTTTTCACTGTTAAAAATATTAATGAATAAAAAACAACACATTAAATACGATATTACATTTTAGTGATAACTTGATTAGGTAATAATCATTCTATTTCATGTAAAACAGCGCAACAAATGAAAATAACAATTATTTAATAATAATAAATAAAAATAATGAATAAATATTTCTATCACTCACATCAATTAGCCTTGCCCCAAAGTAAGCACTGTAAGGCTTACTACTAGGGTAACGGATAGAATACATATACAGTAATATATAGTTATATAGAAATACATATTAAACATTCAAGACTGGAGTACAAATGCTCGTATTCATCACACATACATTTGCCCCCACCGGGATTTGAACCCGGGACCTCTTGAGTCGGCGACACCATGAAACCCTGCGTACAAACGTCGTTATTATTAAATACCTACTATGACAGTAGTAAGTGAAACATTTTATATAGTATGTTTTTTATTTTTTACACAATAACTAAAGAGTTTTTTTCTCAAAAGGTGATATTTAGTGTTAAAATAAAACGCAAATACAACCAAAATACTGGTAAAAATACTGTGTTTTATTTATTTTTCGTTAGAAGCTAACGTACGCAAAACTTTGTAATATAGGTAAATTACAAACTTTGCGTACGCTAGCTTTATACTCGAATGTAAGACGCAAGCAACACCAAGCACTGTTGTGCTTCTGTGTTCAGAGAGGAAATTGTGTTTATTTTTACCCATGTTTAGGTACTTAGTTTTTATAAAATACGTACCTAACATGGGTAAAAACAACAAAATAGTAGAAATCTACAAAATCTGGTCACACTAAACCAGAGACAAATCAATCATTGATGCCAATTCTGGCGTGATTCTCTAAACTTAAAACTAAATTTAACATCAGTCTCTCCTTTTCATTCTGTATAGAGAATGACAATGATATACTGCTGTCAAATTTAAGTTTAGGTTTAGAGAATCATGCTAGAATCGACACCATTGCCAATTTAAAAATACGCAAAATTCTAGTAGTGACGTAACATTGCAGTATTATTTTATAATTTAAATCGTTTTTTTTAATAATGATAATAAATAGCATAATGAAAAGCAGAAACTTCTTTCTAGTCATAAGTTTAGTTCATCAGGCCCATTGGAAAGGATTCTCATGGTTTATGCTAAACGATTTTGACATATATGACAAAGGAATAAATAGTGGCACATACAGTATGCTTTCCTAATTTCCTTCCTTTCCTTAATTACAGAGCATAATGGGACTCAGTGCCGCACAATGCCCAATTATGCTGTTGCTGATCCAACCTATCAGCCTTTTTAGATATATTTATGTATTTTTGAAGTTATACTTCTTTAGGCGCGTTATGAAAAAATTATGAGAGTGAAATTTTAAGATGCGCGCGCATCACTGTAACACAAAATTTTAACAGCATGAAGTTGGTCGCTTTCGCGACCAACTTCATGCTGTTACTTTTGTGTTTACCGCACATTAAGAAAATCTACCAACAAAATAGAAATAGAATCTCTATTTAGTGGGTGCTAACGACTGCATTGTGAAGGCCTATCAAAAGTATTTATTAATCTGGAACAACGGAGCCAAAGCGCGATTCAGGAGACTACAGCGCCATCTCTTGACCATTGGTGTAGTAGAACCAAAAACCACATCTTTATTTTTCAATGTTACTTTTATGTTATTATTGTAATAAAGTAACAGTTATAGGTATTCATATTTATAATATTTATCCACATGTTTCTAGTTTGTATATTCGGAATACGTGTTTGAGTTTCATACAAGTGCAAATCACATATGTTCTAATAAATTATATTCAGTAGCGATTTTAATTGAATATTTTCGAAAATTTATAATAATAATAATAATCATCTTTATTTGCAGAATATGGTAACAAATGGTGATACATAGATAAAGAGCATCCTATATTTTTACCCAATGGGTGTGCAAATTAATTGTCATGTTGAGAAGAAAAAAAACTTATTTCAATTATTCCATTCATTAATTAAGCATAATATAAAATTATGTCAAATTCACATTATCGTTATCAAACAATATAATAGATTATTTGATTCTTATTAATAATAAACATAAATAATAATTTAAACTTCAACATCACTTAAATATTCCTTTAGTGTATAATAAGCTTTATTTACTAGAAACTTTTTAAGGTAACTTTATATTTAACTACATTATCTATTTGTCGTATATCTTTTGGTAACTTGTTATATATTATCGGAGCAACGCCATATAAACTATTTCCAAACAAAGCAGTTTTATGTGGTATTTGACACAACTTATCATTGTGTCTTTTAGATGTAAAAACATTATAAAACAATTTTAAATTCGTTTTAACAAAGACACAAACTTCAAATATATATAAGGTACAGTCAAAATATTTAATTCCTTAAAGAGAGCATAACAAGAGTCTGTAGGGCGAAGTCGACTTATTGCTCACACACCTTTTTTGTCCTTTGAAAAATCTACCTTTACTACTGGAATTTCTCCAAAAAATTATGCCATACCTCAGTAGTGACGCAACGTATCCATGATAAGCTGTCATTAGTGCAGAACAGTCAGCTATTTTATTAAGCATATACAAGGGATAAGAAAATTTACTTAGCTTTTCACATACATAATTACAATGAGTTTCCCATGTCATATTACTATCAATATAAAGTCCAAGAAATTTGGTAGTATTTACTTCTTCTACTTTTTTCCCCGAGTGCTCTATTTTTACTTCAATAATTTTCTTGCTTTCTCTTTGTTTAAATGTCATCGATTTTGTTTTGTCCAAATTAACAATTAACTTATTATTTTGCATCCATTTAATAATTTTGTCAAAGTCATTATTTATTGAAAGTTCATAATCATTTTCATTTTTACATTCAAATATATACTATCATCTGCAAACATGATCATGGGACTTTGTATGCATTTAGGAAAATCATTTATATATACATTAAAAAATAATGGTCCAAATACGCTACCCTGTGGGACACCGCAAACTGTTTTCCTTGATGAAGATGTATATGACTTTTTAAATTTAGTTTTATAGCAAAGTCTGTCGATTTGAGTTATAACCTGTCTATCGCTGAGGTAGGATTTTATAAGCTCAAGAATATTTCCCCGCACGCCAAATTTATATAATTTATCAAATAGTATATTAAAATCTACTAAATCAAATGCCTTTGTCATATCCATGTACAAGCCCATAACCTGCTTACCCGAGTCCATACAAGAAATAATTTTATATACAAATTCAGATATTGCCATATTAATATTTTTACGAAATCCTTGCTGTTCACGAGCTAGCAAGTTATTATTCTCAAAGTATGAGTATAGTTTTTCATATATTACTTTTTCAAACACCTTGGAGAAAACAGATACCAATGCTATAGGTCTATAATTAGACATGTTATCTCTATCACCTCTTATGAAGAGTGGTTTTATTTTTAATATGATTGTTATTTTTAAGCTATCTGGGAAATTATAAATTTACAATATGTGCAATAATCGGTGATATAATGTCATTCACGCATTTTAACATGTTTGTATTAATGTCGTCATTACCAGTACTATTCGTAGTTTGAAGTGATTTTATAATATTAAATATATCATGAGGAATTACTGGAGTCATAAATAATGAATGGCTGCTATTATATGTCAAAGTTTTGTCCAAGCTAATATTATCTGATGTCAGTTTGTGATAGATAAAAAAGTCATTAAAATTATCAGAAATTACATTGTCATCTACTATTACTTGTCTAATTTCCTCTTTAGGTAAGTTTCTTTTTACTTTATTAATAATTTGCCATGTTGCTTTTGATTTGTTTCTAGAATTATTAATAAAATATGTGTTTTGCGATTTTTGAGTTAGTTTGACAATTTTATTAAAGCGCTGAGTATAATTAAATAAATAAAATAAAATTTACCGTCACTTTCGATGCCGTGCTTGCAAATCGCATTACTGTATTCTCGAAAACACTTATAACAAACAAAAAAATATATATAACAAAGGTCAATGCTCTTAAATGTATGTAATGTAGTACAATTTACAATAGAGATAAATTATTTATTTTTGGAAAGATTTTTTCTATAGGGTCAACCCTTTCTATGGCCAGGGTACGCAATTAAGAGTAAGAATATTTTATTGCATAACTGTTACAATTGATTGATACTAGGAGTAATTGCACACAGTGAGTAAGAACCGTGACTCTTAACGGGCATATATTATTAAAATACATACGTATAATCACGCTCGTAATCCCATAGGAGGTTGAGCAATTGGCACTTTCCTGGATTTGGTTTATCTTTTATGTAAGCGACAGGCTAGTAACCTGTCAGTATTCAGAGGCACTGTATGGCCCATACTGCCAAATGGGGCTGTATGTCTAGTAACCCCTCATGGGATTACGAGCGTGATCATATAAATTATTTGTCGCTACATTTAGAAGTGTTAATTTATATATTTTATTTAAAGTATTTACACATACCTACCTCATCTTCCTACCCTGCTCCCAATCTTACTTCGGATCGGTGCAGTATGTCTTGATATTGATAATACTGCTTAAGGGATTTGGCATTTGATTTTTACGGCCGGCCGCCTGCCTGACACCAACCCTAGGGAACAACTACTATCTATGACAGCAGCCGGGACCACCGGCTTAACGTGCCTTCCAAAGCACGGAGGAAAATTGATTTCACTAGCTATAACAAACTATGTTTCATGCAAATAAACTTTCATTTCATTTCATAGGAAAATTTTTGGTTACCCATCCGAGTACCGACCGTGAATTGGTGGCTTAACATTTGTGATCGTTACTAAAAACGCACAACCGCGGCGCTATCGACTTCCTCCATATATATACATACATATAATCATGCACGTTGCCCCATAGGGGGTTGAGTAGAGCCTTATGTAACACTTGGTTACAAATAAAGCCACATCTGGCAGGATGGGTCAATTCAGTTACCCCAAAATAGTAATAGGTTGCTTGCCTATCGCCTACCAAATAAGAGGTACAAATATATATCGATATATAAGCTGTTTGTAGTCTGTATTGCTTCATAATTATATTATAATAGAACCAGTAAAATTAGCCGGAACTTTTGTAAACATCGTCCAAATTTTACAAAAGCATTCCAGCTCGTAATTCGATGAGACACCGCGTAAAAACATTGTTAATTATTTTACGAGCACCTCTACGAATTACTTTGTTCATTCTTACGGAGTTTTACTTCTCAGAATTATGAATAATCCAATATTAAAATAAAAAAAACCGAAATAACACGAAACTGAAGTGCACGTTTGACAGTTGTCATACTTTTTATTTGTGTCACCATCTATTGAAAATTTATAGTTCTGCTCTTTTATGTCGCACTGTATTTGAGTTTATTTCATAATTTATTTTCATCGCTTCTTAATAGTTATAGTTTATTAACCTGTCATTGATGAATTTAACGTCTTTACCACTAACAATGCTATATAGTACTTTCTCAGGTGTAGTTAACTTTTGCTCATGACCCGTTTTATATCTTGATTTAGCGTTATTCGCTTACAATGCTGCGTATTCGCTATGTGCGAAGTACATGGTGGGGGTATAGTGAAGCGATCGCAGCGCTTATAGTGGCAGAAATACGCAACAATCCGGGAAAGTAAAGTCAATTTGCACGGAGTTCGTAATAAACAAAAATTTTTTAAAATGCCTATTAATAGATGTTGTTGTGTTGTGAATTGCAAAAATAAGGGCACAAATAGTCTGTGTATATATTTCCTACATTGGACTGGAAATTAAATCAAAGAAATAAATGGATAGATGCCATAAAAAGAAATAAGTAAGCGAAATAACCTTAAATTATGATCAATTTTATTTGCGCTATATATTTTATGTGATATTCATTATTGTCTTTATTATTTTAGTGTTGATGGGTCGCCATGGTATCCCAAACCTGACGACACAATTTGTAGTGAACATTTTATGGGAAACAAAAAATCAGACGAGGAAGAAAATCCGAGTTATGCTCCTACGATATTCCCTGAAATATATCGAAAGAGGAAGGTTAATGATTCACAGGTCCTAGCTAGATATACACGCTTGACAAAACGAAGAACCACAAAAGTCTCAGATACCACATCAAGTCAAATAATAATTGAAGAAGGGAGTGAATTAAATCAAACTCAACCTTTTATGATCGATCAAGGATGTCAAGTCAATATGTTTTCTGAATCGAAATTAAGAGATACAACTTTTATTTGTATTAGATTAATTTACAGTGATCACTGTGATCCAACATCAAGAATTTTAATGACAAATAATTCAAGAAAGAAAGATAAAAGCTGTGGCACTGACAAAAAATCGTATGAGGATCAATCTACCGAAACAAAAAGTCAAGAATTTGTTGGTATTTCATCAATAACAAATGATCAAGAACTCCTAGATCCTTCTGGTGTGTCATTTAGCAATTTTGAGTTTTTATTAACAAGATTAACTATGAGAAAATGTACAGTTTCCACTAAAGACCGACTTCTGATTTTTTTGATAAAAATGAAAACTGGCTTGACATTTTCAGCATTGAGTGTGTTATTTGGTGTACAAAAAAACCACAATCTCACGTATATTTCATTCGATCTTACAAAATCTAGCTTGTTCAACTGCTAATTTAATCTTTTGGCCGAATAGAGCCACCGTACAAGCACCAATGCCCAAGTGTTTCAGTCCAGATTACATCAATACAAGAGTTATTATTGACTGTACTGAATTCCGAATTGAAATCCGACATTATTTAAATTATTATACAATATATAATAATTTTTATTTATCTTTACCTTACTATATTTACTAGAAATCAATAAAATACAAACTGATGTTATTATTTGGCATAATCCCGGAAAGTTGCGCATTGTAGGTGGCGCTACTGTCGTGCACATAGCGAATAGCACCACTATGCCTGTCAAATTGACAAATACTTTTTTGACATTGACCGACAATTCCTATCCCCCCCCCCCCTCCTCTTCGCTCGTATTTTTTCTCGTAGTGAACTAAAATGTCATCACAGATGAATGAAATCCATTCAAAGAGTTTGGTATTTTAAATAAAAAGAATTCGTGAATAATGAATTGATTCACTGCTCTCACAAAATCACTTACAATACATATTTTATAAAATTTGGACCTACTGTTTGGCATATTACAGAAGAAAGCAAAAAACAATTGTTTATTTTATCAGATTTATTTAAAATAAGAAAAATGAGTTATGAAGAGGGAACACATCTAGCTCATCGTCAGCACGTTAAGTACTTCATGAGATTTTTGAATATCTTACCATCATCTTTGTCTTCACATGATACAACAAGGTAAAATAGTTCTGATTTCATAACCTTATTCTGTGTATTTGCATTTAATAAAATTCATATAAAGTAATACTATATAAAAACATTTTTTTATAAATAATTTCATGATAGGAATTATAGAGTAAATTTTTATTTATTCACATAAGAAGTATTCATATAAAAATAGAATTACTAATAGTAATTTTATGTTTCTTTAGATATTATAGTTATTTATTTTTATAAGGTTGGTTTATAAAAATGTATAACTTTCCAATTTTTTTTTTTTGTATAACAGAGCTTATTGCATTGCTTACAATTTTAACATATTTATTGACTTTTATTATGAGTAACTAAATATTTAGGGCCGTATTGTGAACACTTAACTACGGACTAAACCTGTGGTTTAAGTAAAACTGCATGGTGACAGGGTAACTCTACTGATGCCTTGCTCTTACAGTAGAACTTGCCTGAAATTAAGAGTTAATAATATGGCCTCTGCAATATAAAATGTTTTAAAAATAATTTTACTGTGTATTCCAGAGTTACAATTGCATACTTCTCTGTATCTGGCTTAGATGTGCTCGGATCTATAACATCTGTTTCATTGGAGTTGAGATCTAGAATAATTGAATGGATATACTTTTTACAAGTACACCCTAACAAAAGTAGTAAGTATTATTCTAAATACAGTGCAACCTTCATATAATGTACCTCAATATAACGATTTCTATGATTTAACAAATTCTTCGTAATTCCCTTGAATTTTCCATAAGAGTCAATGTAAAATATACCTTTACATTGCGAACAAACGCACAAATTTTCATCTTTAAAAAAAAAGAGTAAATAACTCTAATTAAAAAAAAATGTCGACCAAAAGCCTCTAAAACGTTTCCATCAATATATGGCCCATAATCCCATAGTAAGTGATTCATGTCACGCCAAGAAACTATTTTTTTTACCTATATACTTATTTATGTATCAGTTTATGTATTCACCTGTTTTTTTTAAAACCGGCTTCCCTACTCTGTTTCAGGACTCATTCATGTTTTTTTGTTTTTGATTTCTTTTCGAGAGTTTTTCTTTTCTCTCATTCGTGAGTTTTTCTATCAAGGTATACTTTTCTTGATTTCTATTCTTGTTTACTTTTATTTTTTGTTACTATTTTATTTTTCTTATTGCATTGTTTATTCATAGTTCCTTGCTTATCTCTATTACTATAAGTTCACTGGTATTTTTATATTTTATACGTTATATGTTGCTTTCCTTTTCTAACATTCATTTTTGAGATTCATTCTTTACTTTAATTAATAAAAAAAGCCTTTGTTAAAGCTACCAGTTATTTAACAATGATTAAAAATTTGAAAATGTTTAGTAATGAGTTAAGCATGTCAATGACACAAGGTCTCCTCCAGCCTCTACAGGATGTCTAGTTGATCTAAAGAAAATATAACTAGAAAAAAATTCCACGCGGACCAGGCAGCAGACGGGACTCGAACCCGCACCCTTCGCAATCCGGGCGAATGCACTGACCAATTATGCTACCGCGGCCCTCACGGACCGCGTCGAAATTCTTTCTAGCTATTCTTAAGCTGCAAGGCAGCGCCTGGTCCGCGTGGAAATTTTTCTAGTTATATTTTCTTTAGATTTAAACATCAAGCAGTTACATGCTTTAAAAATAATAAAAATTATGTCTAGTTGATGTTCGTATCTTTGAAGAAATACTGTTTCTAATCTTCGCCACTCAGATCTATTCTTCTCCAGTGCTTAAATTATTTATTCCGATTTTTCTCTTTTTTATTCACTGTATATTTATATTCTATTTACTTACATATTTCTTCCTTATCTAAACATTTGGCTTTTGTTCTATTTATTTTATAGACATTGTCTTGCTATTTAGTTATACATTTTACTTTTTGTTCTATTCACACTATTAAATGTTTCTTGGTCCTTGTTTATATATTTTACTTTTTATTCTATTTATGCTACACACATTTTATTTGTACTTAGCTTATTATACCAAATAATATTTACTTATTTCTTATAAACTGTGCTCAGTCCTATCCTTGCTTCTTTTAATATCACCATTTATCTTATGTTATTACCTTCTCTTGCTATTTTCTTAGTCTGTCTCTATACTTTCACTCCTGGTGATAGCATAGAACTGACCCTTTCTTGGTCCTATCTCCCATTATACCTTCAGAGTTTGAGTGGTTCCCTCCGAAGCCCGGTTAGACTCACCAAATGGGGGTTTCAAAATATCAATTTTGTTGCCTCCACTTGTATTGTTGCGGCCATCGTAACTTCCCTTGGTTTCCACTCACACTCTGTATTTTCCCAAGATAGGGCTTCAGCAGTCTTTCTCCTTATTATTTATTGGTTTCTTGTTTTCCTCAGGAAAGTGGAATCAAATCTTACTTTTCACAATACTACATCCAGTCTTTCGTTGCCATTCTCCTTGTTCTTTTCCTCACCCTTATCTTTGCTTTTTGCTCCTTATTTCCCCTCTCTTTTCTATTATCATCCACAACACCTTCCACAGTCCTCCACTTTCGCTTTTGCGATTCTCTCCCAGAGTATTCTTTGTGGGCAGTCATTAAAAGGGTTGTGCTCGTTTTCTTTTTACTCAGCCCTCTTACAGTTTGGCAATTTGACGTGGAATCCCTATTCGGGCATGTGGCATATAGGTGGCCTCCTTCACAGTGGCTGGAGCTGTCCGTCGCCTCCGTGCAGACCCGTCTGATATAGCCGTAGCCCAGATAGCTGGATCACTGGATTAACGGGGACTGATCTTCCTCAGCGGAGATTCCCCACTGTAGCTGAAGAGTCCATGCGTCTGTCAGCTGCCGCCAGAAAGTAGGCGCCTCTTTAACCACTACGTGCGCCACATGTGGATTCCTGGTTGCCTTTTCGAACATTTACTCTATCTCATCTTCCTTGGATTTTGTTCCCTTATTCATTCTTTCTAATTTCCTTTTTATGGCCTCTAACACTTCTTCTTTCTTTCTTTCTCCTCTTATATTCATCACTATTACTAAGAGATTTTTATTTGTTTTTTAATCTACTTCTAACTTTTTGTTCCTTTCAATCTTGTCCTTTAGTTTATCGGCTTCACTTTCACTTGCACACCCTATTATTACTTTCTGTCCTTTCGCTTTCTTCACTCTTCCTACCTCGTTCTAGTCCCCTTTTTCGTCGACCGATATTCTTACTACGTCGAACGCCTGATCGCTCGTAAGCGTTTCATCGGTCGACGCCAATATGATGAAATGCAGTGTTTTAATTTGGGGTGCCACACTTCTCGCTTTGCCTCATACGTCTCATCCTTTCTTTCCTCAATCCGTGTTCTTACCTCGATCGGTTTATTTTGGTCTTCTTCCATTTCTTTTCCACTTTTTCCTGCATGCATTTTATCTCTTCCGATCTTCCCTTTCCTTCCTCTATTACCTTATTGTTTTCTATCATTACTTCTCGCAACTTATTTTGCTTCTCTTTCATTTGTATACTTTTCTCGGTTTGCATATTCATCATCCTCTCCACGTTCCTTATGAATTTACTAAGATTCCTCTTACTTGAATTTTCTGGAAGCTAGAGCATCATTTGCATAATGGTTGTTAGGAACTTGCCGTTCCCGACTATCCTTTGCTTAATATTTATAATTGTTTCATTCATCATTCGCATATTACTTTTTATTTCATTTTTACTTTCATCCTTATTTTTTCCTTTCCTACCTTTTTCTGTATCCTCTTCTTGTGCTCTTCCACTTTCTTTAATACTTCAGATTCACTTATTCTACCTACTAGCTCTTTAATCATTTTTATTTACCATCTCGCTATTTTCTTCCGTGATTCTTGTATTCACTCTAATACCCCATAGCACAAGCCTTTTTGTTTTTTGTTTTTTAATCTACTTCTAACTTTTTGTTCCTTTCAATCTTGTCCTTTAGTTTATCGGCTTCACTTTCACTTGCACACCCTATTATTACTTTCTGTCCTTTCGCTTTCTTCACTCTTCCTACCTCGTTCTAGTCCCCTTTTTCGTCGACCGATATTCTTACTACGTCGAACGCCTGATCGCTCGTAAGCGTTTCATCGGTCGACGCCAATATGATGAAATGCAGTGTTTTAATTTGGGGTGCCACACTTCTCGCTTTGCCTCATACGTCTCATCCTTTCTTTCCTCAATCCGTGTTCTTACCTCGATCGGTTTATTTTGGTCTTCTTCCATTTCTTTTCCACATTTTCCTGCATGCATTTTATCTCTTCCGATCTTCCCTTTCCTTCCTCTATTACCTTATTGTTTTCTATCATTACTTCTCGCAACTTATTTTGCTTCTCTTTCATTTGTATACTTTTCTCGTTTTGCATATTCATCATCCTCTCCACGTTCCTTATGAATTTACTAAGATTCCTCTTACTTGAATTTTCTGGAAGCTAGAGCATCATTTGCATAATGGTTGTTAGGAACTTGCCGTTCCCGACTATCCTTTGCTTAATATTTATAATTGTTTCATTCATCATTCGCATATTACTTTTTATTTCATTTTTACTTTCATCCTTATTTTTTCCTTTCCTACCCTTTTCTGTATCCTCTTCTTGTGCTCTTCCACTTTCTTTAATACTTCAGATTCACTTATTCTACCTACTAGCTCTTTAATCATTTTTATTTACCATCTCGCTATTTTCTTCCGTGATTCTTGTATTCACTCTAATACCCCATAGCACAAGCCTGTAAGCTCTTTTTAGGACTATACTTAGGGGCGTATTTACTCTAGGGCCAATAGGGCGTTGGCCTTGGGCGGCAGGCAATGAGGGGCGGCAAAAGCTATATAAAGGCCTATAGTTACTGACCTATATTTTGATTCTATATATTCATTCAGGGGTGCAAATTGTAAGTGGCTCTGCTAATTGGTGTGAGTGTTGGATTTTTTTTTATATATTCTTTTTGTACGGGACGCCGGGCTGTCGCAGTAGCGGACAGTTACCGACTCGTACTGAGGGGTGGAGGAAGTTACACGCAGGAGTCTTGACTGTAGTGGACTGTAGTTTCGGCGAATAAAACCCCTGGTGTTCGGTATTGAAGAAATCGGTGGGCGCTGATAATGGATGGCCGGTGAGAGGAGGCTGATGGTCCAGAGTGAACCGCTTGGTGTTTCTTCCTGTTCCTTAGGGTAGGAGCGCCTGTCGCTGAATGCATGTCGGAGCATGTTCCGACTCGAATTTTATATGCTAGGATTGAGCTGGCCAGCGATCCATTACCTCACCCCCGCTATACTTTATTTTTCATTTTCTCAAAAATTACATAAGTGCGAGCTTAAAACTAATTGTACATACATCGGGCATACACATAGGCATATTTTTAACACAGTTATGTGTCCGTAAGCATGATATTTTAGGTGTGGCGCGCAAAAAATAGGTCTCCGCGATATTTATACTTTCCCCCTCCATAGGGCTTCGCCCTGCCACGGGGCTCCGCTGCCCCACCCGCGCGCTCCGGGCGCGCCGGGTGGGGAGCGCAACATGTCTTAGAAAACCGTTCTATACAAACAGATTTCGTCTCCTACACGGTACATTTCTACATTTATTGATGTGATGCCTATTTATTTAGGTAGTCCTATGCGTTATCTACCTAATACAATAAGTTTCTAATAAGAATATTAAGAAATAACAGC